CTTGAGCCTGGTTCTGTTACTTTGTAGCCTAGTGACTTTGGGCAACTCACTTTACCTCAGTTTCCTCAGTTATAAAATAGGGATAATTAATAACACCCGACCTATCTACTCATTGGGTTGTCGTGAGAACCAATGTAAAAAGACAGCCTGAGTGTAAACAATACTACTTTTAAAACCATACGCTGGGTAATATTGAATGGAAAGTAGAGGCTAGGATCAAAGAGAAAGCTGTTAACCCTTCTCTAATTGAGTGTTCATCATCCTGTATCCTGGTGGCCTCTTCCTGAGTCTCTTTCCTCCTGTCAAGTTTTTGTAGAGGGAAGATTATGGGCCACCGAATTCCATGGATGTGTGTATGTGTGACAGGAGCTCTACCACTTTCTATAAAGCCTCAGGCTAATTACCTTAGCTCCCTGAGCCTTCATCTGTACAACACAAATAAGGCCGATTTCAGAAAGGCTGTCCTAAGACTGAAGTGAAATATTAGCTGTAATGTACCAACCATGATTTCTAGTGCACTGCAGGCATTCATTAAATAAAGAGATTTACTGGACCGATACAGAAAATGACACAAGGATGAACACTCTGAAACTTGCTCTCTGGGCAAATGAAGTACTTCAACACTTCCATGTCAACGCTCCAGAGCGGACACACTTTACAGGATGCTCTTCCTGTAAGGGTGGCAGCGATGCCAACGACCCCTCGTCCACCTGGAGCTCCCCGTTCCGTCACCCAGAGGCATCACATCATAGCACAGACAGAGAACCAAACTAATTTTTTTTAGAAGTGGTATCTATTACACTAGGAAATGACTTCAAACTCTTATCAAAAGAGGGACAATCACATGCTGCCTGGAAATCCTTTTAAGATTTTGGCAAAATTTCTTTAACATATGAAAAATGTTATGGCTCTAGAAGTAATGGGAAATCAAGGAAAGGGCAGCGATGGACACCATTTACATCAGTCACCATGCTGATGCTCTACGTACACTCCTTCATTTATTTCTCAAAGCAGCTCACACTGGAGATGGCCCTCTTGTTCCTCCCATGTTACAAACAGGGCTGGGCTTCAGGAGGGTAAGGGGATCACCGAAGATCATAGCTTCCCAGAGGTAGATCCTGGCTTCGAGACTCACCTGCCTCAACACACATTCTGCCAATCTCTCTACCAACTTCAATTCACAGAGCTACAATAAATATCACAAAAAAGATACTCTAGGTAGACCAATCAACTGGAATTTGAGTTTCACTGATCAGTGAACTATCATCTTACTGATTATGCGACTACATGAGAAACTTTTACACAGAGCACCTGAGAGTCTAACAAGGTATCTGCACAAATCTCACTTGGTTCTAACAACCTGGTGACAGAGGCCAACTTGGTATCATCCAAGGGATGAGAAACTCAGGATGGGCAGGCAGGACTACCCACTTTTTTCCAAGTCACACAGGCTACTAAGTGGGGAAGCTTTGATTTTAACTAAGCTCTTCGTCCCTAAGCAGTTCCACTATACCATACTGTCCTCTCTTCAAGCTATCTATTGCCCCTGTATCTGCTCCAAGCAATAACCAACATCTGTGTGACAAATAACCCCCGATTCTTCACAGTGCACATGCCAGGCACTTGGTTATAATTTCAGAAGGTACGTATTATCCTTGTTTCTTTTTAAGCAGAGACAGAAACTGAGGCTTAGAGAATAAAGTTATGTAATGTGTCCACAGCTACAAATGGCAAAGCCAAACTGCAAACTTTGGTTTGACTCCAAAGTCCGCACACTTAGCCACTACCTAGAATAGAACTGCCTCTGGGTCTCAGCTCTTTCCCTCCCCCAAATGAGTGATCCAGGTCCCCAGACGGCTTGTGTGTTGTGTGCGCGATGTCCCACAGCACCTGGCTGTCACAATCTCTTTCTGGATGACTCCAATGCAACACCCATCTAATGTCACCTCCTAGCCTTAGCTCAACCAAGAGCCTCAAGACTTGGGTTCCTTCCCTCTTCTACCCATCACTAAATAGGGGACTGCAGGCAGGGGGACGTTCAACTAACTTCTCTTCAAAATGGGGGAGCCAACTGTGCATCTACCTAAAAGCAAGGGTAGGCCTAAGTGTTCTAAGATTTCTTCTCAGGCAAGACTGGTAACATTTTGCCTAAGGTAAATTTTTCAGATCACAAATACATCCATATTCATAATGCAAGACCAAATATAAGCTAAAATAAAAGAGCAGTGAGTCAACAAAATCTCTCCGTTCCCTGTCACTGAACTCAGTGGAAGTTAATAACAGATTACAAAAAAGGGAAGCTGTCAAAAACGTCCTGAAGAATTACTGCTATCTGCTAGGATTTCGTATCAACTCAAGAGTTCTCTGAAGACATGGGCCTTATTTAGATGATCTTTCTACTTCCAAGCACACAATTCACACAGAAGTGACTCCGTTTATCAAAATGGATTATCAAAACAAGCCTCGGACACATAAACACAAATAGAACTTGGACCCTAATCGGCACAATGTCTTCCTCCCCTGCCTCCAAAAAGTAAAAAATAAATAAATAAACAAAAAACCAGGGTAAGCAGCAAGGAATGAAAACAACAAATTTACTTTGGGAGATATATAAAAGGATTTAAATAAACTTGAATTTTCAGTTAAGACTGGCATGCAAATAGTTATTTTGCAAAGGTAAAAATGTATGTAACCCTACCTCAATTTCATACTAACTGAAAAGAGAGAATAAAACGAAATGGGCCTATATTGAAAAATATAATTTAAATAAGGGGAGAGATAAGAACACCCAAGTCTAAAGATTTTAGTGAAGTATTAGATGGCGTCACACAGTGGAACAATTCGTAGCTTTTCACAAACCACACAAACTCCTCGCTCAGAAACACATGTGCATGAACTTTTGCCTATAATTGTAAAGGCCTCAGACCCCATGAAGTCCTAGGAGTGGAAGGAGCTCTGAACAGCTTCTTAGGCAATCTGGCTTCTGGTTCTGACCCAGCCACCTTGTCACTGACTCTCTGGATCTCACTTTCCTCCTCAGCCGTTAATGATCTTTCCTGACTCTATGGTTAAAATTCTAGCAGTCTACTAACATCACAGTAAGATCAAGCGATTTAGTAAAATCACCCCCCTTACCATTTTTTATTTGCCAATTTTAACGTCCTACTGCGGTCCTCTATTTGAAGATTTCTCAAGTTGGCTTTCCCTTCAAAAGGAGGTAAGTGGCTTTGCACATGGAACAGAGCTCATACCATAAAGCAAGCCAAAAAATCTTCTCCAAGAACAAACACACTTATTTCCTTAAAGCTGCGCTGCAGTAAGTCTTGTGACATCCTCACCGAGCATATAATGAAGCTGTTGTAATCACTTTATTTCCCCATTTGGATGGCAATCCTTAACCAACTCTGCTTCCCAGCAAAAATTCTGAACTACAAGATTACATTTAGAGGAACTGCTCTCCAACTGCACCAGAGTTATATAGAGTTAATTGTTTCAACTTCTGGAACAAGGCTTCTCGTCCTAAGGCCCTGAGGCGAACAGAAGGAATCTAATCACTGGCCATATGGGAAGTACGAAGGAATGGAACAGATCACTCCCTGGAATATGGTCGCAGGAGAGGCTCAAGTATCCAGAGCTCATTTGAGATGAAGAGCACCCCTCCGACTGTCATGGTATCCGAAACACCCATTAGAAAGCAGCTGAAAAGAACCCTCTGACTTGACTAGAAAAGTTATAAACCAGGCAGGTGAAGTAAACAACAAACGACCTGTTTAAGTAACAGAAGGTAGCATTACATTCTGAAATCTCTTCCTGGCCCATCCAGACTCCCCACCCACTCCCCACACACAGCTACAAATGATAAAAGATAAAACGCCAACTAAATTAAGTCTAACAGGAGTAAAAGATCGGAGAATTTGGGAATATCCACTTAACTTACGAGGGTCCTTCGGTTACTGAAGAACATGAATCCCATAGGGTTTATTCTTGTTCAGATTATGTGGCTGAAAAGATGTGGTGACCATAAAACCGTAAAAACTATGTATTAAACTAGAGACACTACAACTGAAGTTTCCACCTTTTGTAAATATTCCAGTGAAAAATGTCGGCTGTTGTAATGCATTTCTTTATTTATACAAGAAAAAAGGACTCTTCAAATGTTCTAACAACCTTCCTTCAAAAGGCCTCTCTAAAGAGTCAGAATGGGGCGCCTGGGTGGCTCAGTTGGTTAAGCGACTGCCTTCGGCTCGGATCATGATCCTGGAGTCCCAGGATCAAGTCCCGCATCGGGCTCCCTGCTCGGCGGGGAGTCTGCTTCTCCCTCTGACCCTCCTCCCTCTCATGCTCTCTGTCTCTCATTCTCTCGGTCTCAAATAAATAAATAAATCTTTAAAAAATAAAAAAATAAAAAAAATAAAGAGTCAGAATGCCTCACAACTGAACGTGTGCAACACACAGGATTTCCTACTGCCCGTTCCCAGGACAACTCCTTTGCTTTCTCCTGCTACTCATATGAAGAGACCATGGCTCTTGATTTTATTCATAGAAATTATATTCAGACCAAAACCCAGTGGTTCAGCATATTTTCTGCACACAATTATTACATTAAAATATTTGTTTCTAATTAAGTCTTGAAGACATAATAGAAAAAAACGTATGGCAGAGAAAAACTTTTTTCTTGTACCAAACTGGGATAAACTACATACGTGGTAACGGAATGCTACCCCCACAGACAAGACCTACTCTGAGTTTTCAGTAAAATATTAAGAGGCAAGAAGCAGTGAGGCAGGGAGAGAAGCTGGTTCCATGACTTACGTTTGTGCCTCTCAGACAATGAAGTGGTTAGCAGGGGCAGGCTTACAAGCCTCCAGCAGAAGGCAAGGCACAGAGCTGAGGCTTTAATTCCTGGCAAACTCACTCGGAGATGCCAAGTGGGCGGTGCTGCTATGAATCAGGGGGTGGGGCCGGGGGTGAGGGGAAGGAAACGGAGAAGGAGCACTTACTCGGTTAGAAGCTGGTGCAGCTTGTGATAACCCCGCTCCAAGGCCAAGCTCACAGGTGTTGCTCCTTCCTGGTTGTGGATGCTGAGAGCCCCTCGGCCACCTGGCTTCTGCAACAGGAACCACGTCAACCTCAGCAGCCCCAGCCGCACGGCAAAATGCATCAATGTCTCTCGGGGGCCGCCATCTGTACGTGGGTGAGAAAATCAGTATGGAGAACATGAAAACAACAAACAGAAAAGCAAGTTATGTGAGCACTGCACTGCCGCCTCCAAGTACCTAAGATCCTAAAGTTAAACCGCGACATAAACAGTCTGACTGGGGTGGGCTACAACCAGCGCCCGCGTAAAGACAGAACAAAGCTGGAACACAGTTCGAGAAGTCTCCGAAGAGAACCACGCCACTCTGTATTCTGATTTTACACGTTTGTGCAATCCATTTATACAGGCAGATTTATAAGGGTGAATTCACACATATGTTCTTTTCCTTAAACGGGGGGGGGGGGGGAATGCAGCCTCACAACGTGGGGACCCACAGGGAACAGTTGTTGGGGCTTAGATGGGTGTATCATAAAAGGTATAATTAAAGAAAAAATAACACCCAGACAGGAGTTGGCTAAACACTAAGAACAGGTTCTGCTTGTTAAGCACACACAGGTCTTTTTATTCCCCCACATTAAGGGCAAATCAAATTGCCGACACTGCCAGCTTTTTCTGTTTTGCTTAATGAAAGAAAGAAATGCATCTCCAAGCATAGTAAGAAAGACTAATTTTAAGATAATATACTAGTACGTTCAGTAAGAAAAACATGTACTTGGGCTTATTTCACTTGAGGGGAAGGCCCCTCTTTGGTACAGCGAGTCAAGTGGTGGAACGAGGAAGGGCTCTGGAGTCAGACAAATCTGGGTTTGGATGCGGCCATTTACCACCTGAGACCGGGCCTGATCCATTCTTACTTCTCTGAGCTTCATTTCTTCATCCCTAGGTGGGGCACCTGCACCTCACACCCAGGGTGGCTGTAACAAAAGGGCGGAGGCAGGCGGAACGCAGGGATAAAGAGCAGCTGCACAAGATCCTCACTCAATGCTAGGTTCCTTCCTGCCTCCGGCTCTCTCCTCTTGTCTTGGACTTCAAGTTCCCGGTTCACTAACAACCTCTCTCTTCCTCAGGGCCTCTCCTGTGCCCAACCTGCGATGACAGGGCTACAGCCACGCCAGGGCTGTGGTACCGGCCCGTGCCCTGCCCCATGGGCCGGGCGGGACTCACCTCCAGGGGGCGCCACTCAGACACCGCCATAGGAATGGCGCCCAGGAGCTGTGCCTGCCTCCTTCCCTCATTCTCCATGGCTTCCATAGGTCTCAACTCCTTCCCTGGGCGTTCCCAGACTTCTGGGACCCCACTGTTTTCTCCTTACACATAACTCCTCCATGCTTCTCATGTGACTAGCAGTGAAGAACGAATCCATCTCTGAACCTGTGATTTTACACTGAACCTCACTGCTTCCCATCAGTCTAGTCTCCCTACTGTGATGCAAAAGCTATCTTTCGTATTATACATTTTTCCTACAGAACTACGCACACTAATTCAAGAATTTACAGGGTGTTCATCAGAGGCACGTGGCTGGAAAGAGATCAACACCCCAGAAGAAACCACTGCATGTGCAGGTACAAACTGTAATAAGCAACATCTCAGAGCAGGTGGCAGGGCCAGACAAAAGGGCAAAAAGAACCTTCACAGAAGATCAAGTATCACCATCTGACTTGTGCCTTACAGTTAGTCACAAGCACTCTGACATCCTTATCAAAACCAAAGAGCTAATAAGGCACCGACCAGGAACTATGTGACTTTTTAGAGACTGGTCAATTCCAGTGTTACTAGGTGACACCTCCTCAAAGCAGTTTTCTCTACACCCTCACCCTTTCCAATCCCTGATTTGCGGAGTCAGCTCTGTATTTACAAGTTCCAACAACAAAGCCATGCACCTGCTCGAGGTGGGCACCCTCGTTCCAGCACCTGTATCCTCCCCAGATCTGATTCTAAGGTCCTAAGCAGTAGGTGCCACATGTACTTGTAGGTTGCCCCCTTTCTGCAATCAACAGAGGACAAGAAGTGTAATGCGTGGTCAGGACCCGTGAGATGCTATGCTCTGGGCTATGTATTTTGTATTAACGCTTTTCACGCTCACAATAACCCTATGAGGTCTCATTATCCGCAGTCTGCAGACAAAGACAGGTTAATAACTTAACCACAACAAGAATCAGCAAGATTTGAAAATTCTTCTGTCAAGTCTAGAGACCATAGCCTCTCCATTAACTCCACCCTCTTTTTATAAAAATTAAGCCATCAGGCAAGTGAGCTAATGTTGGGGTTTACAAAGCACCTTTTCACGTTTTCCTCCAATAAATAAAAATTTTTACCCAACTTATCCTTCGTTACTGTTTTTATTCCTTTTGTCTCAGTGTAAACTCCGGCATGCCTACAATTCAGGCCCAACTTCTGTTCTCTGGTCTCTATATTCTGTATTTTTTCCTCTCATGGTCCTTTGTCTTTTCCCTCTGTATTCTGAGAGTTACTCAACTTTGTTCTTCAGATCACTAACTGCATTTCCTGTGATGTCAATTGAGTCCTTTGTCCCCAATTTGAGTTTAATTATGCTATGGGATTCTGGATGTCCCTGCATCATTTCAAGCAATTCCTTTTCCATCTTTGCCCTCACTGTGATGGCTTTTTGCAGATGTAATTAAAGCCCCTAATCAGTTGATTTAATAATGAAGATTATCCTGGATAATCTGGGTAGGTCTAACTGAATCAGCTGGAAGGCTTTAAAAGCAGGGCTGAGGTTTCCCCTGGAGGATGCCCTGAGCCTGTGCTCTTGGGGCTCCATCCTGCTCTGGATCTCCCTTTCCTGACTGAGGATGACAGCTTTGGCTCAATTCAGTGGGTTTTTGTTGTTGCTGTTATTGTTGTTTTAAGATTTTATTTATTTATTTGACAGAAAGAGACGGTGAGAGAGGGAACACAGGCAGGGGGAGAGGGAGAGGGAGAAGCAGGCTTCCCGCGGAGCACGGAGCCCGATGCGGGGCTCGATCCCAGGACCCTGGGATCATGACCTGAGCTGAAGACAGACGCTTAACGACTGAGCCACCCAGGCGCCCCTCAATTCAGTGGGTTTGAGCTTGCCCAGGATCTTCTCCTCTATTCCTGCCCTAGAATCTTGGACTTGCTTAACCAGCCCCCACAATCATGTAAGCCATGCCCTGCAATAAATCTTAACGCATATTTCTCCTGCTGGTTCTGATTCTCTGGTTTGAACCCTGACTGAGGGGCTTCCGGCATATTAAGTAGATACTTCCTAAACTTATTTTTCTCCTGGCTGCTTCCTTTTCTAATTTCATAATAGGTCTGCCCTCTTTGAGCTTTTAAAGGACAAATGGGAACTCTCTTCTAAATTTTTATTTGGTTTCTTAAAGAAAATTATACTCGGGAAGTCTTCCATATGAATACTCATGATACTTTCCTGTTTCCTTTAGGCTGTAATTTATTTCACAGGCCATGTGCTGGTTGGCCGGCTTTCCCATTTAACCATGCTCAATTGGAAAAATCTCTATGGAGGCCTGGCTTCTACCCATGGAGAAGGTAGCAGGAAATGTCTTAAGTCCCACTTGCAATCCATGTATATGCTGGAAGCACCTCCCACACCCATTCCCTCCGATCTGCAGAGAAAGCTGATATGCCTAGCAGGCATTCAACCACAATGAGTATGCTAGATGGCAGCGACTTTTTCAGTGTCAGATTTTCTGATGAAGCAAAACGTTCTAAATTCTGTGAACAATACAGCAATCAAAGACTACATATGTTTTTCCTTCCCCATCAATCTCCCTAAATGCCCTGCTCACAGTACTCTCTGAGTCCCACATCTATGAGAATCCAAAGGCACCATTCCTTCTACTGTTCTATACTGCCTCTCACATAAAGCCACAGGCCGGCACGATGCGGTAATTCTCATACTCTGCGGGGAAGGAAAACAGTGGGCCGGTGCGAGCAACGGGCTTGCAGAAAATGACAACGGTAGCCTTGTCAGAGAATCATGGTTTGAGAGGCAACGAAACCTTCTGGAGCTGAAGTCCTGCCATGACGGGGACCTGCTTGTCCTGGAGTCAACAGATATTAATCCTCTGCCAAGAAAAAAAGTTCCCAATGGTCTTTTTATATTTTATTATTTTATTTTTTAGCAGCTATGATAGCTGAAAAAAGACGCAAATATTAGTGAGTGTAGCTAAGGAAAAAGGAACTAAAACACCGGACAATTAAGGCTGAGGTGGTAGTGACCGACATCAGATACACAGAACTGAGAATGCCCTGGCTGTTCTTGGTGCGGTCTTTCTTAAACCTGTCTAATCCTGCTCTCCACCCAAATTTCTCCTTGTGGGGAGGATTCCCACCCCCAAAGATGGTAAGATCTTTTCATTCAGTCACACAAGACCGTGACTAAGAATGAAGATCTCCCCCAGGACGTTTCTCCTCCTCCCCTTTCTTCAGAGCTAGTCTGCAGGGAGCAGCCCCTGCTACCCTAGAAGGTCCCTTCAGGTGAAAACCATCTCAGTGCACCCCTTTCACTAGCCACTCTGAGGAGCAGAGACAAGGAAGTGAGGCTTGGTCACTCACAGGGAAGATCTCCTTGACTCCCCCATGCACCCTCCACCCAGATGCATCCTTATTACTTATATTTAAAGCAGAACTAAGGCCAAAGTACAGCGCAGAAGCTTTATGTAACTAGGGATGGAAGGACTAGATGGACAAACTCCCTCTTGTTCGTGGCTTAAAGTGCAGAGTAACTTTCTAGAGATAAGTAAAAGCAAAACAGTCTCATTCTGCTTCAAAGAACCGTTCTTTCTAGTGCTGTCCTGTGACAGCCTTCTACAGGACATGTTACTGTCCCTCACAGAACTCAACAGTGTCCTGTCTCTAATAGGTTACTGGACAGTGGTCAAGGTATATCCAAAACAAAGAGCTTACACACCAATACACACTCTCCCAATAGGTCTTCCTCCATCCATTTCACAGATAAAGAAACTGGGAAACAGAGATGAAGTACTTGGCACAAAGTATTGCAATGAAGCCAGCCTATAAACAAGTGGAACCCACTGCCTATGCCCTTCCCATATTATGGTATCAAATCTAAACCAAGAGTTCTCAACATCATGTTCATGCCTGCTGTCCAGGAGACCAACAAGCCCTGAAATAATATGTAAACTGTTTCAGGTAGGCACCTAGATGCACTTCTTCCTGAGGAGAAATCTAAGCTACTTTCAAAGGAGTCACTGACCTGAAAAAAGTTAAAAAGCACTGCATCTTGGGGCGCCTGGGTGGTTCAGTTTAAGCGTCTGCCTTCAGCTCAGGTCATGATCCCAGAGTCCTGGGATCGAGCCCCACCCACATCGGGTTCCCTGCTCCACGGGAGGCCTGCTTCTTCCTCTCCCACCCGCCCTGCTTGTGTTCCTTCTCTATCTCTCTCTCTGTCAAATAAATAAATAAAATCTTAAAAGAAAAAAGCACTGCATCTAAACATAGAGTGGGAGGATTAACCACAAATCTTATATGACCCCTTTGTGCAAATATCAGGCTGGGACAACTGTAAACATCCTAGCTTTCAACAGCAAGTAGTCCTGTTATGCAACAGGGTGCCCTGTTTACCTGTCTCATTATCCCAGGCGACAAGCCTGCTTCATACCTTCTTCCTTTAAGTACCTTTGCAACCCACTGATGTGAGCAGAATGTTCCTTTACATTTGTCCCTCAGCAGCAAGCACCTCTTAACTGATGCTACGCTGCCTTTAAAGTACCCAGTGGTGTAGATTCTAATCCACAATTAATGGAACAACTTACACTGCAGAATGCGAATCTGGCACTTGAAATCAGGTTTCTGATTCCAGTTGTTGACTTAAAGGAGGGCTATCAAGTTCCGTGCATGCATTTCACCTTGCAAAGTATATATACCTAACTTGTTCAATTTCTTTTTGTTCTTTTATTTGTAATTCATGTACAATAAAATTCACTTGTGTGGGGCGTTTAGTCCTGAGTTTGAACACATGCATAGATTCTTATAACCACTACCACCAAGACATAAAACCATTCCAACATCTAAACAATTTCCTCATGACAGCCCTCTGCAGTCAGACCTCATCCCCACTCCTAGTCCCTGGCAACTACTCATCTATTTTCTGTTCCTATAATTTTGCCCTTTTCAGACTGTCATATAAGTAGAATCATACACTAAGTAACCTTTGGAAATGGACTTGTTTTACTTAGCAAAATGCATCCAGGTTGTTGCATGTGGACCCCCAATAATCTGTCCCCTTTATTATTTTTAAATTTTATACCCCCCCCTTTTTTAATGATGAGTAGTGTCCCACTATATGGATATTATCATTATTGGTTTATATACTCACCCAATGAGAGAGATCTGGGTTGGTTGTAGTTTTGAGTGATTACAAATAATGCTGCTGTAGGCATACCTGTGCAAAGATTTTCTGAGAAAATGTAAGTTTTCATTTCTCTAGAATAAACAGCCAAATGTGGAACTGCTGGGTCATATGGCAGACGTACACTTAACCTTACAAGAAACTGCCAAACTGTCTCTCAGGTGTCTGCACCATTCTGCACTCCCACTAGCCGTGTATGAGACAGTGGTCTGTGGCCTTACCAGCCCCTGGTAGTTTTGATTTTACCCTTTCTAAGAGGTGGGTAATGGTGCCTTACTGTGGTTTTAATGCGCTTCCCTAACTATTCAAACTTGATTTAGCTTTTGCTAGTACCGGTTGAGCAATTCTGTACAACAGAAACTGAAGAAGCACATGGCAAGTCCACAAAAATATCAAAGCTGGCCAGTTCCCTATGAAAGACAGGGAAGCTAAGGCCCAGAGAGGGGAAGTGACACGCCCAGTTTCAGACCTGTGCTTTTTCTAACAGTTCTTTTTAATGGTGGTAATATGAACAAACGATCCAACTCCTATGCCTGCTTTCAATAAGACAAAAACAAAACCATAAAAATACCATAAGCCCCATAAATAACTAATGCAATCCCATCTTGACACTGTTTTGTAAATGGCAACCAGAATTAAGGCTGCCATACCAATACAGAACAGCAGGGAGTAGAGGTATAAAGCCTCAACATGAGGTTTCTGAAAAGGTGCTCATGCCCTACATGACGGCAAATATTTTGATCTTGAGATCTTAGCAGTGCAGGGGTTCCTTGGTCACTGTATTAATTAGGAAGAAAAAAGGATAAATCCTTTTTTCCTTGACTGGATTTTAGAGTCCACACTTTATTTTTTATTTTACTGAGGCAGGACTGTTCCAGTAGTTAGCTGCAGCCAGCCCCTGATGCTAAGGGACACCACTCCTGCAGCTGATCATAGGGTCACAGGATTTAAGAAAACCAAAGCTGGCAAATACCTCTTTAGCATTCTTCCATGGGAGGAAGTCTGTGACAGCAGGCACTGAGCATTCCCCTACCCAGTCCCCTCTGGGTGTTCCTGCTCAGGATCTGCTCATGGGCAGAGAGGGTGACTTCTGGCCCGCTCTCCTTACGGAATACAATAATCAGAGCTGAGTGGCCATGGGAGGACAGTCCTGTGACTCTCCGGCTCTTGCAGGGATAAAGGAGGAAGAGGAGCAAACCCTCCCGGCAGATGCAGCATCAGGAGCCCAATGAGCTGTCATCAGCAGCAAGGCAAACATTCGGACCTCCATCTGCGTAACTCCTAAACCTTTCCATTTGATTTGAACTCAGGAGGGAAAGAGGGTGTTATTTATTGGACCCCAAGCACATACTCTTTCATTTAAATACAGCCATAAAACCATGACATTTAGTAGATACCCATCTGCTACAGGAATGATTATGTAGGAAAACCCCTGAGTAAGAGGAACATACAGAGTTACTACACCCGTGCCTTTTTTTTTTTTAAGTGGAGCTTTTCCTTCAGTGAGCTCTTATACGGAGAGCCAGTAGCTGAAATAAGAATGAAATTGCTCTGGTTAAAGAAGTGTGGGGTTTCTCAGAGCCCAGGAGGCTCTGGTGCTCCCCCCACCTCAATCCCCATCTTTTCTTTCCTCCAACTCCATAGAGTCTCTCGAAAACTTCAGAATACAATAATGAAAGCCCTGTCTTTGACAACTAAATACCAAAAGGATGACAAAAAGTTACTCTGCTACTGTGCTTACGAAGGACAGGTCACTTTCTACGCCTGGGAGAACAAGCCAGAACTTGGGGCCTGCAGCAAGGTGATGCGTGTGCTCTCTGCTCCAAGTGGGAACTGAAATCAGCCACAGCAAGCTCTGGCTTGGGGCATTTCACTGCAAGAACAGGTTTGACAGCTCAGCTGGAGAACTGAGAAGAGAAGCCGTAAGGCCACGGTGCTCTGGTAACTGCAAGATTTATCCAGCCACTGTGAAAGGCCTGAGGGCTACAGAAGCAGCCCACTGAAAACCTAAGTATTCCAAACTCAGTCCGTTTGTGGGTCATTTAAGTGCTTACCATGCAAAGTCTGATCTGTTCCCAACACATTCCACTCTGCCGGCAGCTTCAGGTGTCTGAATGCCAGGGCAACCTTCTCATCAAGGGTATTCACATCCCCAGCCGGGGGTCCCGACCGGTCAAGAAAACGGGTGAAGTTCAGAGCCTGCTGATTCCCAGCACTGGTCGCCAGGAACTGGGCTGCATCGTATGCCTCGTCCTGGATGAACTGGAAGTCTTCTTCAGCCACCACGAACACGGGGAGGCCCTCCTTGGAAGCACAGAGTAGCACCTTCACGGTCTCACAGCAGTCGTGACCTAAACAAAACACACGGAGCAAGAAAACGGTCTAAGTCCTCCCGCTGGGAGGAGGACGGTCTCAGAGTCCTCCCGCTGGGAGGAGGATGGTCTCAGAGTCCTCCCGCTGCGAGGAGGGCACTAGTGGGTCCTCTTTGCTCTTCTTACACAATACAGTTCTTCCTAAAAGAAACCCCTTCCTCTGCTCTGACAGCAATCTAAACTTCTTTACGCTTATTTCTAGGTTTCTGTGAACTGTTATTTACAACTATGAATTAGTTCCCTTACTGCTAGCAAACAACTCTGTACTCCAAATATATCCCCTAGAGCTGAACAGTCTCTGAGGATCTCAGGATGTACTGAATCATGACTGTTCAACTCGAACAGAGGAAAGAATGAAAGCTCAAGGATCTTGTCAGGCCTACCAAGTCTGATACGACTGAACTGAGCTAGATCTGGAAACCCAACAGGGAGAAAGCCATGCAGACTGGTTAACATAGGAGGAATTATTATACAGATTCCCCAGCACTGCCCTATTATCACCACCATGCAATCTATCAAATGATGAAACATTTTGAAAAGCACAAAACTACTTATTTTATTTCACTGTTATTAGCAATTCAAGGCCTACCACAAAAATGACTTCTGCTGTCAGATACACGTTCTTTCCTGTAATGTAATGACATCATCAACATCGCCTGGTTCACACAAGGATGATGCGATGCTGTGGCCAGAAGCCTGGTTCAGGGAGAGCAAGCATGCCAGAGATCAGTGCCCACCGTACAGATGGGCAGACCTCATGAGCTGCCACATACACGCCACCCCAGAGAGCTCCACTTGAGTAAAATCCACACTGTTACTGCGAGTAAGGCGTTCCTGGAGGAATCAGTCTCTGCGGGATTTTTAGCCTCACAGAATTAAGTATGTACAACATGCAGAATATAGTCACTGAAACACACTGTTTTCCCTCAACTTCCCAACACTGATCTCAACTGGCTAGACGTACGCTCCTAACATCATCATTCTTCTTCCAAAAAATCTCTCTGATGAGAAAAACAGAAAGGAAAATGGAGTCGGGTGTTTCTGCTGCGTGAGTGATGCCACCTTGTGCTTTGCCTGAATCACCGCAGGCTCCCGCACCCGCAGTTTCCCTGCACCCCCTTGCACGCACAGACTGCTTGTCCACGGTGGGAGTGAGGCTGAGGAAGCTCTCTCCAGGTCCACAGATCTCACTTTCCATACTGCGGCCACAGGCCAGGAGAGGCTTCAGACATGGACAGAACAAACTAAGCTTTCTGCTGCCTTTGAAAGAGAAAACAGTAATTGTTTTTCCGTGTGAACAATGAGAATAATAAGTAAACTGATTTTCTGCATGTGATTCTCCAGGGGCCTCCTTAAGCCCTTTACCCTGGTGACAAAAGAAATCTCTCACTGTTGTGTAACTTTAGGGGGGGCTGCAAGTATTTACTGACCAAGTATCTACTACATATCAGGCACCCAACTTGTCATTTTCTCTATACAACAAATTTATGAGGTATGCATTGTCCTCACGTTACAGATGACAAAACTGAGACTTCATGAAGTAATATGCCCAAGGTTACACAGATATTTGAAGCAGAATCCATTATTCAAATTCAAGTCTGATGCCAAAGGACGTGGCCTATTATGTCATGATGCAAGAGTTCTGTCCCTGCCTGCAAGGAGCCCAATACTCAAGTGACCGGCCAGTAAGACTATTGAGCAAGAACAGGTTCATTAACCACTGAGGTCAGCTTCCACATAAACAGGTAACTCCACCACATACAACCTCCTGCTTTTGGAGTCGAATTCTTTCTATGAAGGCTGTAAGAAAAGGGAGCATGCCCTGCCTGGGCATGTGTGTGTGCCCGCACACGCCTGTGTGTATACCCACATGTGTATTTCAATTCAATACGTATGTTTAATTTATGTATTTAACATATGAAATGAAATTAGGAAAAAAATCCTAAGCTTCCTTTGAAGGGCAGCCAGCCTAATTATATAAAACAACAATGTCAATAGAAACAAGTCAACTAATTCAGGTAGTAGATTTGGAGACTTTTCTGGCAGAAAGTGTTTCTTTTAAATTGTTCTATAATGGGGCGCCTGGGTGGCTCAGTCATTTAAGCATCTGCCTTTGGCTCAAGTCATGATCCCAGGGCCCTGGGATGGAGCCCCGTGTCTCTCTCTCCCTCTGCACACCCCATCCCCTGCTTGTGCAGCATGTGCTCTCTCTCTCTAATAAATAAAATGCTTTTTTTAAAAGGTAAACAAAACAAAACAAACAAAAAACCCTGTTCTATAACATCCAACAGCTAGATATGCACCAAGCCCAGGGCACTGTGATTACAAAGGTGCAAGTCTCAGCCCTCCATTTCAACCCTCCAGAGGTTTACAGTCTATAAGGGGGAATCAAACAAGTTGCAAACTGCAAAGGAAGTTCTCTGGAAACACACAGCGCAACTGGTGCGAGAGAAGCAGGACATTTCACAGGTAAGCGCAGGAAGACTTCACAAAGGAGGTGGCTGCTAAGAAGAACCTTTCTGACAGGGACCCTGCTCCTGGCTCTGCAACCCCTGGAGTTCTTCACTACAACTCTCAGAACTCAGATGCATGGTGCCTATCTTATCTTACCAACACACACTTACGTAATACTTGTGATGTGCTCGGCTCTGTTCTCTGTGCTTCCCAAGGAACAGTTCATGTACTCCTCATAGCAGCCCTATGTGGCAGATACTATGATTACACCATCTACTAGATGCAGAGACCAAGGCACAAAAATATCAATTTGCCCACAGTGATAAAGTTCCTGGGTGGCAGAATTAGAACTTGAGCCCACTTCCTTGCTCTAGAGTCTGCCCCTTCTCCCAAGATTTATGGGTACAAGAAGACTTGAAGAGGAAATAAGGGACCATGGAAGAATCGACAGGGAAGGAATAAAAGCACCGTGCTCAAACCCTGGCTGTAAGACTCTTACACTGTGTGACCCCAGATCACTTCTGCTTCTCTGGGCCTCAACTTCTTCATTTATAGCATGAGGGAGCAGCCCCTACAGCCCCCAGTGTTTCTCAGAGGTCAAAGCCTGTGGGTGTCACCAGGCAGCAGCTGGACAGGGAAAGTTAGCAAGAGATTCCAACAATAGAGAACAGTTTGAAAAGCATAAAAATGGAAGCAGAAGGTAAGTTCAAGGAATGGAAATTACAGTTTCGGGAGGATATTAACTTGGTTACATCTAGATGCTCAGTGACAGCAGAGACCTGGGTTCAAACCTATTTTCCTTACTTGTTAGCTATGTGGCCTGAGGTAAATGACAACACCTCTAACACTGTTAAATCTAGACAGTCTCCTGATCTTGTAAGTGAAGAGCTAGAATTTAGAAGAGTCTTCTCAAATCTTTAATACCATCACCCAAAACAACATCACACCTAGCCTCGATTCATTTCCAATTAAATAAGACAGACAGAAAGGTGTAACAATACGTATTCCAGTCAGAAGAATTACTTTAAAGTAAGAACGGTGTGGTTCATGACTCTAACCAATAATTACAGCACAGCATTACAAGCCTCCAGCCTGTGCAAAGGTGAGAAATCCAAAAGCGTGAACCAGAAAGGGAGTCACAATGTCACTAATGGCCTCCACCAACCTATAAATACCTAAACACCATCTGCCCCCCGTAAGAGCTCCTTCTGTAGAGATACGGAGTGCACCCCATATTCCAGGTTTCCAGATCTTCAATTTCATATCACACACACACACACACACACACACACACACACACAGGGTGTGTGAGCGCAGAAAAGCCACGGTGAAGCAATACTACCTTACTCAAAACTGCCAAGGGCAGAACTGTCTGCACACAAATCTATCTGGCTAGGACAGGGTGAAGACAAACAAAGGGGAGAGAAACAGAAGGTGGCTCAGAAGTTGTGTGTGTGTGTGTGTGTGTGTGTGTGTGTTGGGACACACGCATGTGTGTTTATTAGCAGCCCACGTGTGCCTCTTTCTTTCTGCCGCTTTAGCAGAAAAAATTGGTTAGAAGGTAGATGGTGGAAGGTGGTGGGTGGATGGGTGAACTGTCAGCTCTGTGTATACGTTTTTGTGTAAAATAAAACTGTATCAGAGGAGGCAGAATGTCAGGAAAGGCCATGAAACAGAAACCCAGGAGCAGCGATCTGATTGTTAGCCCGATATTTTTCCCTTCAGACATAAACTCACAATCTGAAGGAGAGACTATGAATCATCCTAAGTAAAATGTGCCATAAATCTGGAATTTGTTTGGTATGATTACAGGCTTCTTTTTCAAAAGAAACACTGAGGAGTAAAAGGAGTGGAGGGCTGAGGGTGTCCTGGACCGGCCTTTATTTTAAAAACTTAAGAGTACACGGGGAGGGCTCTACCACTCAAAACCACAGCGCCTCACCCCACCCCGTCTGGAAATCAGCACATGAGGCTGCCCGCGCTACTCTCTCCCACTAGTGTTTTTTGTTATGCTCGAGTGGGTCTCATGACTATTTTTTAATCCCTATAATCTTTCAGATAAAGCATTTAGGGGGGGAAAAATCAACATGTTAAAAAACAAAGTTATGTAATATGGACCCAGTAATAAAACAAAGCCCAATGCACATACACACATAAAACATCTTGCTGCCATGAATTAGCTCTAGAGACATGACTCTCTCCAGGGCCATCAGCCTTCCAACTGCCTTTGTAGACACAAAATGCAAGGTATTAACGATGCCCACACCTATACTGAAAAGACACAGAAACCACATCTGATTTGATATAATCGCCACAATTCAACCTCTCTTTACATAAAAAACAGAAGCTGCACTAGAAAGACGAGGGTTTTCAGCCAGTGGCACAGTGTTTCTCCTTCCACTCAATCTCCTGGTAACAAAGAAGGAAAATAAGAATCACAAGTTTTTTTTAGAAAGGGAAGTTCTGAAAAATTTACTGAGCTGCTTCTGAAGGAAGCAGCCCCAGAGAATTTAAAGAAGGGAAGA